GGGAAAGGGAACAAGGCAGGAAAAAAGAGAAGAAACCAGCACGAAATTACAGAGGGGAAGATTGACCCAACCAATTAATGTGATGTGAAGAGTTGTGTCTCTTAGTTATATATGCAAATTTGTACTGTTTAGAAGTCAAGTGTTGTGTCTATATATCTCTATTTTTTTTTTTTGGACAATTCTATATCTCTTGGAATTAATTCAAGAGTTACGTGTTGTTGTGTAGAAGTTTAATTCTAGTTATAAACAGCCAGTGTAGTGGCCTATATTGTTGTATCAAAGCTTAGACAATAAGTTGTTAATATTGTCGAAGAATACATAGAGTCCCAGATCGACTAGTAACAAAATAAAAAGTTCCATATAATAAATTAATGGCTCCACTCCTAACAACATAATAAATATAATAAAATCTCTTTCTTCAAAAGAACGTGGGTCTTTGTCGGGTTATTATACAGCAACGGGTTAAAACATCTAAGCCAATCTCACCACACAATTTCATTAAGACAGGTACAATAGTTGAGCGCCCCATCCTTTAAATAACACTATTTAAGGAACTCCTTTATCAAAGGAGACTACATAAATAAATATATAGGTACATATCATATATATATTATAATGATGAAGATAATTTGGATGGTTTTGTTATAAACTTCAGAACATGTTTTATTCTTGGGAAAACGTGAATATATTTGATGGAGTATAAAATCTCTTTTGCGTATGTAATTTAGTAATTATATACATAAATATATAGATATATGATACATAGAAATTATCTATGCCTGTTTATGTGTTTACGTGTTCAGCTTTGCAAATGAAAAGAGCGCAGAGTAAAGACGGTTCATACCAAATCTCTTAAAATTTTGGCTTTCGAACACAATCTTCAACGTGAATATCAAAACATTCCCTCACCACTCTCTAAGATTTTTCATTATGTAGTGACAAACATTCTCCAATAACCCGAAACAAACATTCAATATCTATATTATGTGTTCTGAGGAAACTGCATAAGTTCCTATAATAAAATTCATCAACCAAAGAGGGTGGAATAAGAAATGAGGGAGATGGAGCATCTTCTCCTCCAACTACAATAAAGACAATCGATCCCAATGCCAAGACTAAAAGGACTCTCAAGCGAGTTTCCCCCATCCCTTTTACATTTTTGTTTTGCTAAAAAAAATGAACTAAAATAATAATAATGATATATATATTTTATTTTGCTTTCAACTAATAAGCTTATAAAATTTAATCTAAAAAATATGTTGATTACATAAAGATTCATGGGGTGTATTCAATTGAGATTTTAATATATTGTAATTACATGATTTTAATGTAATGAATTTCAACCGGATTTGTAATGATATGATTTTACTTATGATTTTATTCACTTAGGATTTTAATAGATTACAATTACATGATTTTACTTTATATTTCTATGGGAGCATTTTTACTCACCACATTAACCAAAGGTGTATACTCACCACCACCCTTAAAAAGTGTCTACCTCATCCTTCTCAGAATCTCTTCTTCTGCAGCGCACTAGTACTAGTAACCAACCAACCACACCAATCAAAAATCAAAGAGGCAAGCTTTGACTTTTGAAATTGGAGTAAGACTAAGAGCAAGCAATTTCGTATTTTCTTTTGTAAGATTTTGATTGATTCATAATTTGGCGGTTTATTGGATTTGGAAGATTTTAGTTTCGGGTTTAGTGGTAGTCAAATCATATGGAGGAAGATGAGATGGGTTTAGGGGTTTAGTGGTGGTTGTTTTTATGGGGGAAAAAAATTGGTGGTTGTTTACTGTACATTGAGGGAGAGAGGAGAGTGCAGGAAAAAAGAGAAAGAGGGGTCAGGGGAGGGAGGAGGAAAGAAAAAAATAAAAATAAAAATGAATAAAGGAAAAGGGAAATGAGAAAAAAGGGGGAGTGTGCTATGATGTGGGCCCCTTATCGTCTCTCTTATGAATTATTATTTTTTTACAATAAAAAGCATGAAAAAATAGTGGGGAAAAAAAAAAGGTATGAGAGCATATATGAGAATCATGCATAGGAAGGTGTGATTTAGTATGTTTATCACACACTCAAAAGTCTCACACAATACACCATTTAATGAAATACATTAAAATTATTAAGTTTTTGGATACCACACTACTTTTTCTTATCTTTTAAAAGTCCTAATTGAATATCGTCGGACTTGTATTGATTGTTTAAAAATCCTAATTGAATACCACCAGACTTTTATTGATTACTTAAAAATCCTAATTGAATACCGCTTTACTTTTAAGCTTCAAAATAATCCATTAAAATCTCAACTGAATACGCCTTCCTCAGATACTGAAACTGAGGAAAACTTTATATAATGTTATTAGGTTTCTTTTTCTTAGTAAAGTACACTTTTTATTGGAGTATTTTGACAACTAAATTAGTCTTTTTTTTAATTAAAAAATAATAATAAAGTGGCATTAGTGTGAAGCAACTAAATTTTAGTCTTTTCTTTTTTATTTATTTATTAAAATTAGTATTTTTTTTTATTCGTGTCTCTTGACAGCACAAGAGTTCATTTTACTTTACATCATGTATGTTCTTAAGGGGCAAAACATTAATAATTAAAAAAGATAATCGGGTCCCAGAGTTTTATTAAGAAGTGCAAAATTGGCCCAAAAATCTTAAAAAGTGCAAAATTGGGCTATTTCCAGAATTCTAGAAATTTAACTGTTACATAACCCCTTCACTCTGTCCGTCGTCTGTGTGTTTGAACTTGAAGCTCCAACCATCGCGGGTCGTTGTTTTGCAGTGCGTGTAGGTTAGTTAAGGAAATGGAGGACATAGAGGATTTGCTAGTTGGGAGCGGAGGTGGAGCTCCTCCGGGTTTTCGTTTGCCCATAACAGCCGTCGGATTGAACCCAAAGAAGAACAAGAACCAGAACAAACCCAATCCCAATGGCAATAGCAATAAGCTATCTCAAATCCAAGACCCCCTTGCTCCTCTCTCTCCCAAAATCCCTGGAACTGAGGTCTTTCACTCTATCTCTCTTTCCCTCTCCAGAGATGATTTTCTTTCGCTAACTTCTGTTTTTTTTTTCTTTATGCAGACTATATATATCAAGACATTTGGGTGCTCACACAACCAGGTACGTTTTCAGGGTTCTATTATTGCCCCATTATTTTTCTGTAGTTCATGTTACCGATGACCAACTGTTTAGACGGCCTACCAGTTTTTGCACTTTATTTCGTGTAATCTCATACTTTACCAGGAAAACCTTCAGATTTCCTCTACAATTTGAACAAATAATTTTAGTTTTTCCTTCAATAATAAGCGGGGGAGTTTCATTTTTTGTTAAGTTTGCAAGTTTGGGAGAATATGATGTGGTAAGAGGGGTTCAAATGATTAATTCAAGCAGCTGTCTTGAGAGGACAAATTCAGAGGTTTCTGTGGTTCTTGGAAAGGATAATGGAAACAGAAAAATAAATAATTGTGGGCTCCTTTCTAATAATAAGTCTTAATCTTTCTCCTGTCCTACTGCTCTTCAAGCCGCATGGAAATAGAAGACTGCTAGGTTTTTAGGGAAATGCTACACTTGCCAAATTTTGTTCCCCAACTAAGATGGCAATGTCCAATTGAGTTATATAACATGGTTGATTTTCTACTCCAATGATACAGTGTGCAGCAAGTGCCAAATAGGTTGGGAAACAAATGATGGGAGACAAAGTTGGACTGTTAGGAATTTTCCATACTCTTATTATGAAAATGAATAACTGACAGCATTATTTTATATATAAAAAAGTTTCTGGAAGGGGTTTCAAAAGGTTAGAAAATATCACAATTTAAGAGTAATATTAGGCTATCCTCTTAAATCAATGACCATTAGCTTGGGTGGAACCTTCGGGTTTATAGCAAGGTAGTAGAGCAGTTGATGATGAGAACAGGGTAAGTTAATATTTGAAAATTCCTTTCCATAAGAAATGTAGGATGTCACCAGAGAAAGAGGGGGGGCGTTAAGCCAATGGCTGAACTGCTTTTGTAGATCTCCAGGAAATAAAGGTGCTTCTAATTTGGTTGGTTTCTTGTTTGAAGTTTTCTTAGATCTGTCTCTAAGGTTTTAGTTATTTGCTGATTATCCTCTATTATCCACCTATTTCAAATGGATCTATGATATCAAATTTTAAGGTTGTTATTGTGGTTATAACTTATAAGTAGGATTTATTTGGTAGTAATGTTTCTTATTCTTATTTAATTTGGATTTTGCATCCTTTCTGATCATATTGCGTGGAATGGTTGTTGAATTTTCTGATCGTACTGTTTTGTTTGTTTTTTTTTTTTTTCCCTCTCCCATCTATAAAATAGATCATCTACTGGGAACTTCCCAATTTTAGGGAGGTTGTTGATTAATTTAAACATCATGTAAACTCCAGCTCATAGTTCACCATTCCATTTTGCTTGACCTTAGTGTTATATAAGCATGAGATTTGGTTCTGTCACCGGCATATATTTCTTTTTTCTCTTTTTTCTCTTTTTTCAGTTAAATTTATCAGGGATTGAATGAGTAAAGTTTCTCATGTTTGTATTTGTTTTCCTTGCACTTTGTCTTTATGTCAGAGTGACAGTGAATATATGGCTGGCCAACTTTCAGCTTTCGGTTATCCATTAAGTGACAATCCTGAGGAGGCAGACCTGTGGCTCATAAATACGTGAGAATCCTTTATTGGTATCATTTGTTTAGTGGATTTGGTCATGTCTTACACTGAAAACAATGTCTTAATTTATATTTGAAAATCAATGTCAAGGGAATAATTTAGTGCTCCTTCAGTCATTGGAACATAAAGGATATTGTTTGTGGTATAGTAATATTTTTGAACTTTAGTACACCTGTTTTAAATTCTTTGTATTTAAGTCATCTATTCTTTTTGTTCTTTCCCGAACGAATCCCTTTCTTGCTTCTGATGATAACTGTCAAGGTAGTCAAATTTACTTAAGCACCTAAGAAGGCTAAAAGAAAAACTTGCGATAATGTGGACATGTGAAACTTACTTAGGCACAAGTCATCAGCTTGAATTGACTGCTTCCCTACCCTGTAAATAAAATGGTGTCCTGTCTTGTACAAGAAAGTATCTTGCATAGATTGTGTTATGAGGAAATATTGTAATTTCTAACAATCAATAAAATTAAGTGACGAACAACAAACTGGGGTTTTCTTTACCAAAGTTGACTTTAAGTGGTCTCGTAAGAGGCAGATAGAGTGGATTACAAGGTTTCAAGTCAGTAGATTTCTCAGTGATGATGTTTGCAGGGTGGCCTCCTCTTGTGGTCGGTGTAGGAGGGAGATAAAGAAAAGAGAAAGGGAGAAAGAGAGAGAGCTGGGGCTCCTCTTTTGGTGGGTGAGAGAGAGAAAGAGAGAGGGAGGAGAGGTGCTGGGGGTGGGGTTGCAGGGGAGAGGGAAGAGAGTGAGGATGTCAGGGGGAGGGGGTAAGTCACTGGCAGGGTACAGCAGGAGAGGGGAGGGAGGAGCACCCAAAACTATTTTCTTCTTTTTATTTTTAAATTTAATTCAGAGGGTAAAATTTGGGTTTTAGGCTTTACAAAAAATGACGGGAAGTATAGTTGGTGACTTTGTGGTATGAATACAATTACTCTTGACATCGTGTGGATTTTTTTTTTTGGTGGACTGCATGTTTAGCGTTAATGTAAGCTTTACCACTTTAACATTAATAAATATGTCTCCATTTCCTATAAAAGAGCACCCCAATTGAGCGCTTTTAATTGGCCAGTTATGTTGGCTGGCCTTTACATTTTCTTTCTAAAATACCTAAGCCCCTTTCTTATATCGCATTTTTCAAATGGTTTTTTTGATTTTCTCAACTATTAGGTTGCACCTGCCACCAAATATTAGTCCTTTATTGATTTCAAGTCGGGAATAGAGCTGTGGCAAGCAATATAGATCCCCCCTTACCCTTTTAATATTATTACAATCTTAGTTATTACTGTTTACATTTCTTTCTTAACCATTTCTCACCGTTGCTCTCTGCAATTTTGTTCTATGACATTGTGCACTAACACATCATGGGATATTGGTCCTATGGTATTTAAACTGGTTTGTCACTCTGCTTTGCATGTATATTATCAAAACTATTTCAAGAGTTAATAAGTTTTAGTATTTGACCCTAGGAGCTACTTAAAGTCAATTTATTTTCACAACATTTGCAACTGCTTAATAATTTGTTTAAGGGAAAACAGTACGTCATATAATATTACTAAGATTTGAGGTTTTGGAGTCACAAATTTCAAATTCTTCATGGGTTACTACTGGAGTGGCTGTATTCTGGTATGGAATGTCCATTATGCTCGCTTCTGCAACAATTGTCGTTGTGACTGTTCCCGCACTTTAGAATCTTTCTGCCAAAAGCTTTCGTCCCAAGTCTCTTAGTGCTTTTATGTAGTAATTAATAGCAATATAATTTTTTTAACGAACTACTGTGCTTGATGTATTGCAACATTGCTCCTATCTGTATTCCTCAGAAATTGTGTGCATCCTGTGCTCGTCTTTTAATGCTGAAGTTCTCTCTTTCAAGCTGACCCTTTTTTGTTTACACTATTTTTGAAATTTGTCATTTTTATTTTAAGATCTCTCTAATGCACATGTTTACCTATGATAATTGTAATTATCTGTCAACTCATAATTCTCAATGTATAGAGTTTATTACTTTATGTAGATGCACAGTCAAATCTCCAAGTCAATCTGCCATGGATACTCTGATAGCAAAAGGTAAAGGTGCAAAAAAACCACTGGTGGTGGCTGGGTGTGTGCCGCAAGGAAGTCGAGATATAAAGGAGCTAGAAGGTGTCAGCATTGTTGGAGTCCAGCAAATTGACCGTGTGGTTGAAATTGTTGAAGAGACTTTGAAAGGTCATGAGGTGCGCCTTTTGAGCCGTAAGACATTGCCAGCGCTTGACCTTCCTAAGGTTCGTCTTCTAGACCTGCAATTTGGTGTTTGCATTTTATTTGTTTTCGATATAGTTTTCTTGGAATGCTACCCATTCTAACACATTTTTTTGGTTTTCTTCACTCCTGCAAAAATCTGTTTCTGTTTCACCTTATATTGTCAACTCGTCTGGAGATGAAGTATTTGCTCTTAATTTTTTCCACAGGTGAGGAAAAACAAGTTCGTTGAGATTCTCCCTATTAACGTTGGTTGTTTAGGTGCTTGCACTTACTGCAAGACTAAGCATGCTCGTGGTCATTTAGGGAGTTATACCGTTGATGGCCTTGTAAGTATTGTGATATTGGTTTTCCTTATTTATTTATATCAGATTTCAATTTAATTAGAATTTTAGCACTGCAGGTGGAACGTGTAAAATCTGTGATAGCTGACGGAGTCAAAGAAATATGGTTGAGCAGTGAAGATACTGGAGCTTATGGTAATTCATTGTTATAATTGTCTTGTCTTGATTTAATTGAGAATGTGAACGTACTTGTTATCTTGAGAAATTTGGTCTCAATAGAGTTCTTGATGGTACTTGGTTTTGGTATATTATACATTCATGTGATGTAATCCTTGGAAGCTTGAGGTAATGATCAAACTATGTAAAACATATATTGTTTTTCAACTTGTGGTTAGTATGGCTGCTTGAGCTTTATTGCTCAAAATGGTAATGCGGTTCTAGTTGGTTGAGAGCTATGTTAAACATGTGAGTTCCTGTTTGAACAGGAAAAAAAAAACACAAGTGTATCATGTTCCTGTATCCCGATATCTTCCTACTTTTAGTATTATTGTTTGTTGGATGTTGCAGGAGAAATACTTTCAGACAGGACGCAGAAAATGATGTAAAATTTAAAAAGAAACAAAAAAAGTTAAGATGTTTCTTATGCCAGTGTTTAGTTGAACGATAATGGTGGCTAACCTGATGTTTGCAGGTCGTGACATTGGTGCCAATCTACCAATTTTATTGAATGCAATTGTTGCAGAACTCCCTTCGGATGCAAGCACAATGCTTCGAATTGGGATGACAAATCCTCCTTTCATTCTGGAGCACTTGAAAGAAATAGCAGAAGTTTTGCGACATCCATGTGTATACTCATTTCTACATGTACCAGTCCAATCTGGAAGTGATGCTGTATTAACTGTAAGTGCTAAAATGCTTTTCATGTTTCTTTCTCCATAGATTGGCACAATTTATTATAGCTGTTGTTGATTTATCCTTTTAGTTTCTTCTCCCTGAGATTTAATTATAAATGTAGTGTTTCTCAAGTGTACATAGCTAGACTTCCCATTACATTATGGTCGCTTTGTTAAACTAAATATTCTTATTGTTTCAGGCAATGAATCGGGAATATACTGTAAGCGAGTTCAAGACTGTGGTAGATATCCTAACTGAGCTTGTGCCAGGGATGCAGATTGCAACTGATATAATCTGTGGATTTCCTGGTCAGTGTTTAACTTGATTCTGATATCATTGCTCTTGTTCTTTTAATTTTTCACAGTGATTCAAATTTTTGACCTCCAGATTCTGTGTTGATCAGTTACTGATGTAACATATCTCTGAGGTTGTTTTTTAATTCTCTTGCTAAACTTCTCATGCAATATATGTTAAAAATTTGGCTAACATGGTAAGAAGTTTCAATTTAAGATTGTGATACTATAGCACTCCAAAAGGAAGCACTAAGATAGACTTGGAAATGTTGAGGGATAAACTTAGCATGAATGGGGTACAAGTGATTCCTGGAGGTAGACAAAGTTGTTTGGAATGGTTTAAATAATTTTTACACTAAGAAGCCTTCTTACTACGTACCTCCCTACACATGGTATTGTATATAGATATTTTTCCCAGTATGCTTGGCTCCAACACTACCTGATTTGTTTATTTATTTTTTAAAGAGTTCCAGATGTGCTCTGGATAACTGATAATATGTGGAGATGCTTGGGGGGAAATAATGATTGTTTGTTTATTGAAGTAAATATTACGATCTTAAATGCAAATGTAAAAATTCCATATCTTCTCCTACTTGGTTAGCATTTTTCCTTATAGAGGCATTTTCTTCTTTAAGTAAAAGCAATTTAAGATGGTTTAACATCATAGAAAATGACGTCAAGTTTGTAAATTCTTTTTTAAAAAAATTTACTGTATCTGTGAGTAACTGGTATATTTCCATGTGGTAAAACTTAGCTTTCTAGGAAGAGCATTAACAATGTATGTATAACATATTCTTGGAGTATCAGTTTTATTTGCAGTGGTGATGGGTACTTTTGAGGTAAATTGGGGGATTTGATTACTTTATTATATGCATTGAGCAGTCCAAAGAATATTACTTGAGGAGTTTAGACTTATTTCCTGACTTCTCAGGTGAAACGGATGAAGATTTTACTCAAACTCTTAGCCTTATTAAGCTGTACAAGTTCCCTCAAGTTCATATTTCGCAGTTCTATCCTCGACCAGGTATGTGAATTTGTTCCCCAAAAGTTCATATTTTACACTTTTAGCAATTACATAAATTTGTAATAATCTGTTTTGTGTTTTTTCTTGTTTCTATATTCAGGAACACCTGCTGCAAGGATGAAAAAGGTCCCCAGTACTGTAGTGAAGAGGAGGAGTCGTGACTTGACTTCTGTTTTTGAAGCTTTCACACCATATGTTGGGATGGAGGGCAGGGTGGAAAGAATATGGATAACTGAAGTTGCCACTGATGGAATTCACTTGGTAAGTTAAGTAGTTCTTTATCATCCATGTCAGCTAGTTAATGTGTGGAAAAATTGAGCGAGCAATCCGCTGTACAAATGTGCTCTAATAATCTCCTACCTGAGATAGCTACATTTGTCAGCATTGCAGATTAGGGGCTGGCTTCTTCTGTATTGTTTATTAATTGAAACATCATGATAATTAAGCAGATATCTGGAGTCATGCTAGTTTTTGTTTTGAATTAAGTTCTTTTTTCTTTTTTGATTCAATGAAACAACTCTTGTGGCTTAATTGCAATTAACATGCATATTATTGAACAAAATTGTAATCCAGTTTGGTGTTTAATAACGAAGGTTTCAATCTCTGGATCAATATTTCATAACAATTGTGTTGTTTCAGTGGTTTTTTGGCTTTGTTCCTCCCTGTTAGTTTGGGAGGGGTTGGTGTTGTTTGTTTCTTTGTGTGTTGGTGTTGTTCTCCGGTTGTGGTTGCCTTATCTGCCTCCGTGTTCTTTTGCTTTATAAATTTCGTTTCTTCTCAAAAAAAAATATTTTATCAACTCAAAATTTGATAATAAATAGTTTTGGGTAGATCATGATGCTATTTCAATTTTGTTGCCAATGATATTTTGGTCTAATGACACCAAAATGGTGGTTTGTTTTTTTGGTGTTACAACCAACCAAGATGACCTTCTAGCCAAAAGTTCTATGGGGTTTTGGACAATTATTCAATCAATTGAAATCAAGTGATGTTTACAATTATCTGTTCTCTCTTTGCCCAAGGTTGGCCATACCAGGGGATATGTGCAGGTGCTTGTAGCTGCTCCAGAAAGTATGTTGGGGACTTCAGCTATTGTGAAGATCACATCTGTTGGAAGGTGGTCAGTTTTCGGAGAAGTGATTGAGACTATTCCTCATATAAATGATACAGTTTCGGGAAATGAAAGGCCTAAGCAGGAAAAAAGTTTCTCTGGTTTGAACCATTATGAGACTAGTGCATGTTCAACAAAGTCGGAAAATTGTTGTTGTGGACCAGAAAGCTGTGGAGGACAAGCGGAAAAGTGTGCTGTAACAAAGAATGACGTTCAGCTGGAAGACAGGAACAGCAGAAATCTGATTGGATGGCTACTGAGGAAGCGAAAAAACCATGTTGCGAAACCTGTGGAGAATGAAATAGGCTTGGGATCCCAGAAAAAGCAAGAGCAGACCCAAGGAAGCTTGGGTGAATGGGGTGTCGTTGATAGGGCTCTTCTAGGCGGGATGCTTGTGAGCTTCCTGACAATTGTAACTCTACTATTACATCTTGGATTTAGGATTCTGTCATCTAATTAGTCTGGTTGTACTAATCCATTTTTGTCAAGGATTTTTCATAGAAAAATGCCATACGAGGTTGTTTGTCTATTCAAAAAATAGAATATTTTTGGTTTGTTTGTAATATTGGACATAGTACGGCTGTTGAAACTTGAAACTTGGATCTATTTTTCACCAACTGAAACTGACCACTTTTTACTTTAGTTGGCCTGACTTCCTACTAAGCCTCAGCAACTTGATCAATCTCTCATTCGGGGAATAGAGATAAAAGAATAACTCTACATATGGGATATTGACAAACTGGATGTACATATTCAAGAAAAGTGAAAAAAAAAATACATTATCCCATTGTCTTTCCTGCTATTATTTGCTGGGTTTATTTACTGAATAACCTTTTTCTTCACAAGAATGAGGTGAATAAGTAATAAGCTGCCCTTACAAAAATAATAAAGATATTGAGCTGCTATTTTATCAACTCAAAATTTGATAATAAATAGTTTTGGGTAGATCATGATGCTATTTCAATTTTGTTGCCAATGATATTTTGGTCTAATGACACCAAAATGGTGGTTTGTTTTTTTGGTGTTACAACCAACCAAGATGACCTTCTAGCCAAAAGTTCTATGGGGTTTTGGACAATTATTCAATCAATTGAAATCAATTATTCAATCAATTGAAATCAAGTGATGTTTACAATTATCTGTTCTCTCTTTGCCCAAGGTTGGCCATACCAGGGGATATGTGCAGGTGCTTGTAGCTGCTCCAGAAAGTATGTTGGGGACTTCAGCTATTGTGAAGATCACATCTGTTGGAAGGTGGTCAGTTTTCGGAGAAGTGATTGAGACTATTCCTCATATAAATGATACAGTTTCGGGAAATGAAAGGCCTAAGCAGGAAAAAAGTTTCTCTGGTTTGAACCATTATGAGACTAGTGCATGTTCAACAAAGTCGGAAAATTGTTGTTGTGGACCAGAAAGCTGTGGAGGACAAGCGGAAAAGTGTGCTGTAACAAAGAATGACGTTCAGCTGGAAGACAGGAACAGCAGAAATCTGATTGGATGGCTACTGAGGAAGCGAAAAAACCATGTTGCGAAACCTGTGGAGAATGAAATAGGCTTGGGATCCCAGAAAAAGCAAGAGCAGACCCAAGGAAGCTTGGGTGAATGGGGTGTCGTTGATAGGGCTCTTCTAGGCGGGATGCTTGTGAGCTTCCTGACAATTGTAACTCTACTATTACATCTTGGATTTAGGATTCTGTCATCTAATTAGTCTGGTTGTACTAATCCATTTTTGTCAAGGATTTTTCATAGAAAAATGCCATACGAGGTTGTTTGTCTATTCAAAAAATAGAATATTTTTGGTTTGTTTGTAATATTGGACATAGTACGGCTGTTGAAACTTGAAACTTGGATCTATTTTTCACCAACTGAAACTGACCACTTTTTACTTTAGTTGGCCTGACTTCCTACTAAGCCTCAGCAACTTGATCAATCTCTCATTCGGGGAATAGAGATAAAAGAATAACTCTACATATGGGATATTGACAAACTGGATGTACATATTCAAGAAAAGTGAAAAAAAAAATACATTATCCCATTGTCTTTCCTGCTATTATTTGCTGGGTTTATTTACTGAATAACCTTTTTCTTCACAAGAATGAGGTGAATAAGTAATAAGCTGCCCTTACAAAAATAATAAAGATATTGAGCTGCAGGTAATAGCTTCAATCTCATAGTAGCATATCTGACTTGGATGGCAACCTCTTGAAGAAATTGACAGGTGCAGAAGGCATCTTGCTCCTGAATCGTGGATGCCGAAGCATGTAGAGCCCAACCAGCACTGCCACAACCTGGAATGGAGTAATGTATATGAAAACAGCCCAGATCAACGAGAAGATGATGAAGATTGCTGTAGCCCTCGGGTCCCTCCAGCTTAGTATTGCCTGAGCTCTTTCCCCTTGGGTTGCCAAATCTCCGACAACGGTCTGCACTCTACCCGCAACACTACGCAACCTGTCGTACCTCATCCTCACAATGTCAGCGGGTCGACTTGTAGGAAAGCTGTCAAATTCCTCGTCCAATTCATCCAGGTGCGCAAACTCTGCCTGTGAAATCCGAGCATCCATGTGAGGTGGGTGCCTTGGCCTGAACCTATAGTTCCATATACCAATCACAAAGAGGTAGAGGAAAATTGTGGGCAGGATTAGCTCTGGGTAGCAAACTAGTATCACAAACAAGATATGAACAAGGCATGTCGTGATTGGGTTTCTCCAGTTGCAGATGTCATTAAACCATCTGCAGACATTCGTGACTCCGCTAAGAACTGACATTATGCGTTGGAAGTTGGCTTTGCTTCTCCTCAGACTAAACATATGGTAGTCTACATCTAACATGTACTCAACAGTCTCGCGCCTGAGCGGTGGCTCTGCTCGGGCTAACCTTGCCGCCACAATCTGCATTGCCTGGTGGCGGAGCCAATCCGTGTACCTGACAGGTATAGGTTGGATATAATGCATCTTTGGAAGCAATGGCTTTCCATATTGAGCTACCATATTAACCCAAGCTGTGCAAGTAAACCTCAAAGCCAGTTGAAGTTCCCCATTCTTCTTTAAACCAGAGGGTGTGAGAATCAAAAGGGGATAGTAATGTGTATAAATCCGATCAGTTTCCAATGTTGATAACCGAATTCTCACCTTCCCAATCTTCTGATCTCTCGAGTCTTCTCTGCTTCCGTTGACATGGCAATTGTCGAAAACACCAATGGTGATGACAGTGTATGGATCATAAACCTCCCAAGTATACTGCTCATTCCAGCGAGGTGTCAGAGTGTCAAGAAGTGTTCTAGTTCGAACCCATTTGTTCCCATACCTTGCCACACAATACGCATCAGTGGTCCTGCCCTCCTTGCCCTTCATAGGCAGCAGATTTTTGGCACTCAGAATGCCAAGCTCAAGAATTCCAACGCCTGACTTCCTCAGGTGCTTGGAGGAAGGCTGAAGATCGCTGCTGAAGTGCGTGGACTCATCAAGAACATGATAACCTGCGTCTAAACAGAGGCGAAGATGAATCTTGCTCGAGAACTTCTCTTTCTTCTTCTCACTTTCCTCTTCCACACTAGCGAAATGCCTCTGGAGATTGAACCACCGAGGCTCGGGAAGCTTATGAGTGTCAATTCTATGCGGGAGGTCTCTAACTGAAACGATCAGCCTTCCCAATATCTCATCCTTTCCGGGACCAACTTTCTCATCAACTGATATAATTATGTAATCTTCAAAAGGCTCAGATGCCACAAACATGAGCTCGTCATTCCACATTGGGTTAATAGTACGCACTTGGGAAGGCCTTGTGACTCTCAGCTGATTACCTAGCTGTATCTTCACATATGTTTCCAGAGGCCGGTTTCGCTCTGAAGGGACAAGATCCTGAGCTTCTAGAACTTGAATTCTAAGGTAATATAGCTTAGGGGAAAAGTATACCTTTGATCTTGTGGTGGCAAGATTCATATGGCTAATGTCATGGGCATCAGAATGCCAAGCCTCAGGAAAAGCCTCATCAGCCTGCGTCCCAATCCAAACCGCAAGCATAACCTCTCCTCTAACTTTGATTCCCTTCTTGTCCTCTAACCTATACCACTGAGGAGCCAAAGGGCTATCCGGCGGCACGCGAAGAGGGACTTCAGAGAGATCAAAATGAACCCTCCCCACAAAATCATCCTTGCCAATATCCTTGTCTTTCACAGTTACTTCTAGCAGATTGGACTGCACCCTCTCCTTGGAGAAAGCGAAAATTTGCATCCACACCGGGTTTTGGTTCTTCTCCAAATGCTTGGTGACCCCTCTGTAGTTCCCAAGCTTCACCTCCACATAAGGGTCAAGGCTGCCTGAGACATCCATGGTTGGAAGATCTCTAGCTTTCACCACACTCACATACAAGAAATGCATCTGCTCCACCAGATCATATGTGCTTGAGGTCTTGTCCCCTCCAATGCCTCTGTACCTCAGCCGCGCCGCAAGTGGTGGACTAGTCTCCACCAGCGCGAACTCCGGGTTCTGCCTCGGAACCTGCTGCATATGCATAACCGTGGCAGGACCCGCTCGCGCGAAATCTGTCCTGGTTTCGACGGTGGGTGCCTTCTCTTTCATATGGTGGGTCTCAAATCCAAACCCAGAAGACATTGGAGGAGGATAAGCCATTGAAGGAGGAGGAGGACCACCACCACCACCTGCCCCAGTGCCAATGGAGTGGAAGGTCCTCACTTCCTTTTCCTTACTCTTCTTCTTCATCTTCTCATCCCCAAAATGTTCACGCCTAATTTCCTCATCAACCCTGTTGGTATTGATTTCCTGCAGAGGAGGAGGAACCGGAGGAGGAGGCTCTGCTTTTCCAGAGCTAGTAAACTCAACATTACCGGAGCCATCCTCATGCTGTGGAGGAGGGGCATAATGGTCATCTTGAACTGCATAGATTCTGAGAGCAATATCACCTTTGACATTGGAGAAGAGGCCTCGTTTGTCAAGAGGGTAGCGCTGGATTGTGGCTTCAGGCTCAGAGAAGGGAACAGAGACGCCTGATATTCTGACTCTGCCGAGGAAGTTCTTGTGGTGACCACTTTTTCTGTCATTGTAAACAAACACATCAATGCTCTTGCCTGGAAGCTCTCTTGGGTTGTTGATGTTGAAAACCAGCTTCTCATTCCACTGAGGGTTGAGGTCTTTGGGCTTGGTTTGGGTCCTCTGTCTCTGCCCCTCAAAGTCTACTTCCACAAAGGGACTTGCAAACCCATCACCATCTTTGGGCATGAGGTCACTTGCATCATGAACTTCAACAACCAGCTTGTCCATGGCCGTTGATAACTAATTGGACCCTGAGAGCTGAGAGCTAAGAGATGACAGAATAATTTTATGGTCTAAAATGGAAGGGAAAGTGAGAGTTGGGTTGTGAATAGAAGTGAAGAAGAAGAAGACGACAGAAATGGCGGTAGGAGAGAGAGGGGGGAGAGAGAAAGAGAGGTGGGGAGAAGAGTAGGCGGTGGTGGTGATGAGATATTCATTATGGAGTATGAAGACAGAAACAAATGTTAGAAAGGAGGGTCGTTTGGTGGTGTGAGGTGGCCCCCTTGGATCATATGGCCTTTGATTGATAAAGATTCTAGTGGGTGCATATATTTGAGCTTTTATAAGAGAAACAGGGAGGAGAGCTATTATAATGCTGTCCTCATCTCTTCAATTATAAGCCTAATAATGCTGTATATTGATGCATAGTCATACTGTAAATTTGAACCGCACATTTCAACAAGAATATCAACTTAATTAATGATTCAGATTTAATCTGTCGACAGAAGTATCTCATATTCTTATACGGCATGTCAACTGAACATATCGATTTTATGTTGTTAGACGGTTTCACAACACAACATTTTCTTGTTTGCTTATTGATGATGTATACAACTTATATACTGTTCACTAAACAACGTCGTTTCGGTGTTTCACCTGTATAGCGAAATCTCATTGATTCAGGGGTGGTACAGGTGGATCCCTGTGCTTTTGAGAGAGATGGGGTTGATGGAGATAATGTTTAGGTGGAGGAGAAGAATGCTAAAATAATTCTTAGAGGGAAGTGAAAGCGATCACTTCATTGATGAAACATACACACTTTTTCCAAAAGCAACGTATCCTTTTTAATTGGATCTCTCCCTGTCAAGGAATTAGGCAGATGCATTATTAATTTCAAACTGTGGATGGATTGTTGTCAAGTCTTTGGCTAAAAAGGTCAGCAATATCATAATTCTCCTTTTGCCTAGAAAAAGTAGAGAGGTTTCTTTGAACAACTTATTTATTATTTAATTTACCCAAATAAATAAATAAAAGAAAAGAAAGAAAGGTTTGGCTTGGTATTGGGATGAGGGGGTGATTAGCCGACTCAGCAGAATTGCTTTACTGGTTTGTTGTTGCATAAAATATAAACATCAGTGAGTTTTGCTTTTTGAGCAAAGCCCAAATCTTTGAATAGTGTATGTTGCTTCTCCTATGTAGGACGAAAAAAAACCAGCTTCTAGTGCCAGTTTGACTGTCAGAACTTGGTCATTATAAATCAATTTGGTAATGTGCTGATGGCTGACAAAATGTGAGGTGTAGAGAAAATGATGCATCTAGTGGTCCGCCAGTTGCAGGCAAATTAAATAATTTGCTTGCAGTAAATGAAGGTAAACAGAAGAGGACATATAGAGAAATAGACATGTAATACTAATACCCAGTATATGAAGTTTTTCCCTCGTATATATATACGGTGATAAAGATAGACATATAATTGTATATAATTGAACGTAAAAAAGAAAATTTTGGTAATCTCTGTTAGTGCTGAACGAAAAAGAAGTGTCATACAGACCGTGTCGGTCCTACCCAACCTG